ACTAAACAATGTGTCAGTTTATTAATTAAATATACGTGTCTTCTAATTGACATATGTTACAGTTCATTTCTGGATAACACCCTCCCTCGTTCATTCATTACTAAATAATACGTTACCAAAGCATGTGTTAGTTTATCACAATATACCACGAGCTCATTACTAAATAACAGGTCAGTTCATCACAGGATAACATTGCTATACATCATTACTATATAGCATGTGTGTCAGTTCATTACTGAATAGCAAGAGCAAGTCCATTTCTAAGCTAGCTATGTGTTAGTTTATTGCTGAATCCAAGATGAGAGGATGGATGGCCTAATCGTCTCAGGAGCATCTATTCTATGCCTTTGGACATGCAATAAATCTTTGACCGTGGGTTCGAATCGCTCGATTTCTTCATGTGTCAGCTAAATACACGTGCACGAGGGTTTCGACACAGCGACATATATCTAAGAGCTGCATCACGTCGGGCCTTCCTACAGTACATAACAGGAATACTGACGTGTTCAAACCGGCATTAAACGGAACTCATGCATCACCAAATTGCATGTTCCAGGTCATTACTAAATGTCGCATATCTTAATTTATTCGGACTTCCAAATTGGCAGCTCATTACTGGCGTTCATGTCAGTTCATTACGATCTCATTTTTCATCACTGATTGTCTATATATCGGTGCTCTGCTGAACCCGAATCATTCGATGTCATCTGGACAAAGAGGTGTCCATGCAGCACCGGCGTCGCCTTTGAGCCGCGTAGAGTTGCGTCCCTTAGGTGTGAAAGAAACCTTTGATCGTGAGTTCCAATCCCAGATTCGTTGTGAGTATCTTCTATTCAAAGGAGCGATAAAGCAAATTCAATCTCTCGCTGTTATTGGTTGTGCCAATGAATTACCATAAGTTTGCCTCGGGTCTAATACTGTCACTTGTGTCGAGACATACTGTCACTTGTGTCGAGACATGCTGTCAGTTTTGTATGTCCATCAGTTTGTAACTGTGGGTGGTGTCATGTCACTGTGCTGTGTAACATCAATGCCATCACATTTTATAGGTGTGTTCTACAACCTCAGCACGACAGCTGTCGTAAGCTATGATCTCCTCAGAGCATAGATAGCTGTGTGCACACATATCATGTCATTACCAGCGGGTTACAAGCAAGTTGTATCATGTCATTACCAGCGGGTTACAAGCAAGTTGTATCATGTCATTACCAGCGGGTTACAAGCAAGTTGTATCATGTCATTACCAGCGGGTTACAAGCAAGTTGTATCATGTCATTACCAGCGGGTTACAAGCAAGTTATATAATTTCATTACCAGCGGGTTACAAGCAAGTTATATCATGTCATTACCAGCGGTTTACAAGCAAGTTATATCATGTCATTACCAGCGGGTTACAAGCAAGTTATATCATGTCATTACCAGCGGGTTACAAGCAAGTTATATAATTTCATTACCAGCGGGTTACAAGCAAGTTATATCATGTCAACTTGTGTGAGGTCAATACCATTAGTTTGTGTCTGGTGAATGCAATCAGTTTAATTTAGACCAATACCATCAGTTTGATTTTGGCGAATACTATCAGTTTGTGCCCGATCATCACTTCTAGCTACACTTTATGCCTGATCAGTACCATCGGTTTTAAGTCAGGTCAATATTAGCAGTTAGTCCCAGATCAATGCTATCAGTTTAATATAATCAATTTATGTCAGGTCAGTACTGTCGGTCTGTGCCAGATCAATACTTTTAGCTGCAGTTTATGTCAGGTCAATATTATCAATGTGTGCCAGATCAATATTATCAGTTTATGTCAGGTCAACATCGTCAGTTTGTGTCCAGGCAAGAGTATCAGTTTGTGTTAGACCAATGCTATCAGTTTGTGTTTGACCAATACTATCAGTTTGTGTTAGACCAATACTATCAGTTTGTGTCAGATCAATACTATCAGTTTGTATTAGACCAATACTATCAGTTTGTGTCAGATCAATACTATCAGTTTGTGTTAGACCAATACTATCAGTTTGTGTCAGATCAATACTATCAGTTTGTATTAGACCAATACTATCAGTTTGTGTTAGACCAATACTATCAGTTTGTGTCAGATCAATATTATCAGTTTGTGTCAGACCAATACTATCAGTTTGTGTCAGATCAATACTATCAGTTTGTATTAGACCAATACTATCAGTTTGTATTAGACCAATACTATCAGTTTGTGTTAGACCAATATTATCGGTTTGTGTCTGATCTTTGCCATCAGTTTATTGACAGGTCTTCATCATCATTACCTAATTAGTCTTGCCAGGTCAATACTATTAGTCGTCTGTGTCCCGACGGTGCCTGGTGAAGATCCAGGCTAGAATAGGTCCTCAGCAAGCCATGCTTGCCGCCTGAGGCGAGCACAGGGATCGGGTGCCGAGGATCGCAGCGGTACTTGATTCATGTCACCGCATCACAAGCAAGTGGAGGGGTGGTGGGGTAGCCTGGGGGTCAAAGCGTTCGCTCGTCACGCCGAAGACCCGGGTTCGATTCCCCACGTGTGTACAATGTCTGAAGCCAATTTCTGGTGTCAACCGCTGTGATATTCCTGGAATATTGCTTAAAGCGGCGTAAAACCATACTCACTCACTCCCAAAGAAGTGGAAAACAGAGATATGACTCAGTATATACTACCCATCAAAAGTTTAGACTCACTTAAAGCACTCACTATATGTTTGTATATATATACGGTTACATCGAAGATGAATTTCTCCACTAACTTGGGGGAACTAACTGCAAACCTATGCAAATGAATTGCACGAGGATCATGCATCAAATTGCTGAAAAGCATGTGCAAATATCGAGCATGTGAACAGTTGCGCGTTTATGAAAAGTTTCGCCAATTTTCACTTTCATCATTTATTGAAATCATCATAATAGTTTTTTCAACGTTACGAATTTGTCTTACAATACATGAGTTTATGTGTAAACAGTATGGAATATTTTGCAAAAGCTAGTTTAGAACAGTTGACTGAAAGAGGTGGCTACATTTACACTAGTGAGTGAGTGAGTTTAGTTTTACGCCGCACTATATTCAAGCTATATGGCAGCGGTCTGTAAATAATCGAGGCTGGATCAGACAATCCAGTGATCAACAGCATGAGCATCGACCTACGCAATTGGGAACCGATGACACGTGTCAACAAAGTCAGCGAGCCTGACCACCCGATCCCGTTAGTCGCCTCTTACGACAAGAATGGTTTACTGAAGATCAGTTCTAACCCGGATCTTCACTGGTTACACTAGTGTAGTATTCAGTCACTTAGTTCTCCGTGCACCATACCATAACACAAATACCAACTGGGCACACTTCATGTTTGATGCCGAGCGGTACCGACGGTGATGATAGAGCCCTCCAACACAAACCTGGTGATGTAAGTGGGAACCCTCGAGGCTGTCACAGCTGTCGTGTTATCTAGCCCGAATCAGCTTCACACGCTTCAGTGTCCCTTCAAAGCTCGAGATCAATACCTACATGCATTGATTTCTTTCTACTTCACTGGTGGAGTCATATGTGTTATAATGTATCGATTACCGCTATCAGCATGAACTGTCATAAAGAAAGTAGAATGTACACATCAATGAATAATACCCCTGAAGATACTGAAAGGCTAAACTGTGTTAGGTGGATTCAAAATTAATGATATCATGTTTAGTTTCAACAAAACCAATCAATATCAATCATGTTACTTGGTTGTCAGTTCCAGACTGGTGAGTTAGTAAGTGATTGAGTTTAGGTTTACGCCGCACTCAGCAATATTCCAGCTATATGGCAGCGGTCTTTAAATAATCGACCAGACAATCTAGTGATCAACAGCATGAGCATCGATCTACGCAATTGGGATACGATGACATGTGTCAACCGAGTCAGCGAGCCTGACCACCCAATCCCGTTAGTGGCCTCTTACGACAAGCATGGGTTGCTGAAGATCAATTCTAACACGGATCTTCACGTGTCTTCAACGTCACCAGATTGTCAGGTCAAGACTCCATTGTTTCAGAGGCCAATTTATTATGCGAATTGTTTTGCTGGTGAGTGTGATCGATAGAGCAGAATGTGGTTCCCTGTTGAGAACACGTGGTGTGATCACTTATTTTCAGTGGTTCAGTTTAATCACTGTTTTTCCTTTTACGATCAAAGGGGTCGCTTTGGAGACAGATTATGCCCTGGCGTTAACGTTGAATATGTTGAAAGATATGCGTTGACGTTCTATGTTCAGATCCAAAACAGGGGCGATGGGGGTAGCCTAATGGTTTATGCGTGCGCTCGTAAAGCTGAAGACCTGGGTTCGGCTCCCCACACAGGCACAATGTGTGGAGCACGTTTCAGATGTCTCCCGTAGTGATATTGCAGGAATATTGCTAAAAGCGACGTAAAGTCACACTAACTCTTAGAGTGAGACAGGCATAACTTAAATATGTTGTTTAAATTTATTATCTCTACCTCTGTTTCATAAAAGGACTCGTCTAATGTTCGTAAATATTCTAGCGCCCGCAGCAACTGCACTGCATGTATTGCAGGAACACCTACATGTGTGTGACGCACGCTGTCGCAAACTTGTGCTCAATTAACATTCATTTCATCACCTGCCCCTGTGACAGAGAGAAAGTGTATTGCGTCACAAACACGTTCTTTAGATTTCTCAGACTTACACCAATAAGATTTAAATGGATAGACTTCTCTCTGTTTTATTTAACATCAAAAAACAAAACTCGGAAATGAAACATTTCCAATAAGATTTAAAATGGATAGACTTCTGTCTGTTTTATTAACATAAAAAAACAAAAATCGGAAATGAAATATTTCCAGATCAGTACATCTCTTTACTTCAAGTTAGTTTGACAGATAGTGATAATTGAGATCTCACGAAGAGGAGTGGAGTTTATTGTTGTGTGCGCCCTACATGACAGATAGCTGTTTATGCGATTTTATGCTTGTAACACCTTGAAATTGTTTTTCGCAGCAACGGTGGGCACCGGGATGGCAATAAAAGTGGATGTTAAGTAAACCATATCAGTTGGAGGAACACAGCGTTGTTGGTAAGTAATTATTTATCTGTCTGACTATATTGACGTCGTGACGAGAGATGGCGGCTGGTACTCGGCGATGCTGCTGCTGCTAATGGTGAATATAATGGCGATGATGGTTGTGATGAGTGAGTGAGTCTGGTTTTACGCCGCTTTGAGGAATATTCCAGCAATATCGCGGCGGGGAGGTTGTGACGATGATGATGATGATGATGATGATGATGGTGATGATGATAATGACGGTTATGATGATGAGGTGGGTGTTGTGGATAACGATGATGATGATGATGATGATGATGATGATGATGATGATGATGATGATGATGACGGGATGATGCTTATAGTTGTGATGATTATGATAATGAGGAGGGCGTTGTGGTGTTGTTGGTGGTGGTGATAATGAAACAGCTGAAAGTAGTCCACAGTCCATCGTTTATTACACCGCGTTTTAGACCCGATGGGGATTCCTGGCGAGAACTGGCCCTCAGCAATCTGTTGTAAAGTAAAGAAAGTGAAGCAGAATAGATCAGGTGCTGTGACTCCATTGTTTTCATTGACATCATGGCAAGGTACAGATAAGTAATGATCGTGTCTCATAACACCAACCTGGGCCCATATTTTCGAAGCTCTCTTAGCGCTAAGACAGTTGTAAGTTAATGTTAATGTATGACACTTACGACTACCTTAGCGCTAAGAGAGCTTCGAAATCTAGGCCCAGGATTGTCTGGCTCAAGACTCCATTATTTATTTTCATACATCATCAATTGTGCAGAGCGCGGCGTGAGACAAAAAACCCCAACAAGGTACATTACAGTACTTATTTCAGTGCAATGAGAGATGACCACATCTGTTTGTGTGAGGGAGTTTTGTATGAATCCAGTTCTTCCGAGGTATTGAAACAGTAATGAGATACTCTGATTGCACTCTACTAAAGTGAAGCTTTATTGGTTTATCAATACCAATAACTAGAAGTCGATATGTAATTATTCCTTGTCCTAGAACCAGCCGAGTACTAACTCCACTCAAGTTACTTGTAACACCGAAGCAGCGCAAAGTGTATGACTCTGACACTCCTCAGGACGAGGTCGTTGATTGTTGTCCCTGTCGAGTGACTGCAAGGTCGCTCCTCAGCAGGAATCTCTTCTCAACATCAAAGCCTCGCGTTGTCATCGTACGAGATGACTTTGATTGAACATGCATACGTTCACTCAGCGGCAAACATGTACCCGGTAGCGCCAGGAAACGGATTGATTGTCAAGTCTCCGCGCCATACAGTCGTGTTGAAGAAGAGTACATGTGCTCTCCCAAGGGAGTTCATCACGGCGGGAGTTGGTTCAATAGGCCTTGCCTGGGTAGAGAGTCATTGTAACCTAGCGCCTTTGAGAATATCGCTTTGTACCTTAGAAGACCAGATATCTAACAGTTCATAATTACATCCTTCTCCCAAGGCAACTGTGGAGACCTTCGTTTAGAGTATGTCACAGTCGTCAAGTTGATACTTTCCTGGGGATGATGACCAAATGTTTATCACATTGGCATTTCCCCCGAAAGCCATCTCTTTGGTTATTTTACATGTGTGTGAGGAATGGTATTACATTGTATCAATTCCTGATAATGAAATTATGCTCTGAGACGTTTTGCTTTGTCCTGATTCTTGGGTAGTAGGTGAGTGAATTTAGTTTTACGCCGCACACAGCAATTTTCCAGCTGTATGTCGTCGCTCTGTAAATAATCGAGACCAGACAATCCAGTGATCAACAGCATGGGCATCGATCTACGCAAATAGAATACGATGACATGTGTCAACTTATGTCAGGGAGCCTGATCACACGATCTCATTAGTCGCCTCGACCGCCTCCGTGGTGTAGTGGTTAGAGCGTCCGCCCGGAGAGCGGAAGGTCGCGGGTTCGATCCCCGACCGCGTCATACTAAAATATGGTACTTGTTGGTCCCTGCCTGGCGCTCGGCATTAATGGGTACAACAAGGACTGGTCGGCTCGGAGTCAGTATAATGTGTCTGAGTGGGGGTATTCATGCTTCACTGCGGCATGGTATCTCAGTGGGCTAGCACTATAAAACCAGCTTCAGTCTGGGCTAGTACATGCAGCCGCACATACACATACACACGCATGCACGTCGTCATATGAGCGAAATATTCTCAAGCACGACGTTAAACCCAATTTCACCTCACCTCACCTCATTAGTCGAGTCTTACGACAAGCATGGGTTGCTGATGGGCCCCGGATCTTCACAGGTCGTTTGTTTGTGACGAATCGAGGATATAATGTTTATTATGTCTTAGTTGCATCAAAATCTAATCAGTACCAACGCATAAGTCCTGATCCCGTTAATCGCCTCTTACGACAAGCATGGATAGCCTAGCGGTTAAAGCGTTCGGTCGTCACGCCGAAGGACCGAGCTCGATTCACTACATGGGTACAATGTCTGAAGCCCATTTCTGGTGTCATCCGCAGTGATAAAACCAACTCACTCACTCCCTACTGAAGATCAGTTCTAACCCGGATCTTCACTGGTCCCTCCCGATTCTTGGTGAACAGTCGCATGAAATTGTGCCACACTGTTTTTTATGAATGAGTATTGTTTAATGCTGCTATGGACAGTATATCAGATACACCGTTGTGGCGAAGTTGAAGGGACCTACGTAAATATTTCGAGTTATCGGAAGTTCGACAAATCCAAATTCATTTGATTAATGGCGCAGGAATATGAAGGGAGCACGTTTTTCGTCGAAACAACCTGTGATTAAAGTGATTTGGTGTCAAGGCGTGTTTTATAAAATTTTTGTTAGTTGTTTTACGCCGCACTCAGCAATAGTGATCAACAGCATGAGCATCGGTCTACGCAATCGGGATACGATGACATGACTCAACCAAGTCAGAGAGCCTGATCACTCGATCCCGTTAGTCGCCTTTTACCACAAGCATGGGTTGCTGCGGATCAATTCTAACCCGGATCTTCACGGGTTTGTCATTATATAGTTGTTTTAAGTCCCTCGACACTTACTTGTTACCTTGGTCACACCGATGGCCAAGGTGTTGACACACCTACCAAACGAATCACATCTTTCTGACAGTATTAATGGAGGCATACCTGCACCGCGAAGAGCGCGCCTTGTTCCACTTTCGTTATCTGTACCTCCACTACACCTATCTATATACATCACCACAGTTTTCAACCGAATTGAAAATAAATGACACCTGTTTAAGGACGGGATACTGTACAAACATGGCCGTAACCCATTCTTATAAACAAGACGTACACATATGAACAATATAATTACTCCCTGTATTTTTATTAAAATGATGCCTCAGCAATTTCTGCTATGAAGAGGACAATTCGGAAATCTTGTGTAAGGAAGTTTTCAGACAAGGATGTTCTTAACGATATTGTCATAAAGATCTTCTTCCCTGGTAGCAAAAAACTGAATATAATCAGCATCAGAATAAGATTTATCATGAATGTTGACATCAAAGGTTCTATTTTCTATGCTATATTCAAAATCGATGAAAAGTTGGATCAATAAATACAATAGATTGAGGCTTGTAACAATGCCATTTTCGATTTAATATCAGGTAAAAAAATAAAATAGTCCTTCTCGCCATGATTATCGACGTAATGAACAGAAAAGAAACTCAAGGAACTTAGTTTTTCTTCAAGAAGAAACAGTAGGAAGCTATTTCGTATAGAAATATTTATCTTGAAGCCATCTGCGGAGATACTTAACAGAGGTCTCATCATATAAAAAGTGTAAAAGGTCTTGTGGAGGAAACATGTGATAGAGGATGTCTTAACTGAAGAGGCAATTTCGGATCGCATTAACAAGTGATTCAAAATCCGTGTATGCTCGGGAATCATTATTGTTGGACAAGCGGAAGTCCTTCAGCACTGGACACTTCGAAACACGAAGATTTCAATGCATGGGGGCGGAAAGCTGTTAAGCAGAACGACCGACGGAACCAGCCATAAAATGAAATGAAAAACCTATACCCGTTATAATGAAAGCTCTTGGGAGAGGAAGGGGAATTAAATCTGTCGTAATTGCAACAAAACTGACCTTGTTATTTAATGGTAATGCGTTTGCGTCGGTAGTAAACTTCTATCTCAGTGACAGTTGAACTTTGGCTCGTTTCGTCCTTCCCATAAAATCGTTGGCCGGAAGTCGTCTGCTCCCTCAAATGTTTGTGCTTCTCTTCTTCTCCACGCTATAGCTGCATTTTGTCAGTTTCCGGTTTCCTGTGATTAGTGGGTTTATTGAGTTGTTACGTGTTTGGATTACGTCGACGTATCTCTTACCGTACGTGACTTGTTCTCGTTTGGTTCATGACCACGGATGTTCCTCATGGTGGAGTGATGTCTCTTTGTCACGTACAATTCAGTCACACCAAGCAACACTCTCTTTGATCACATTCGTTCATATGAATCAATGTGTATATATTCAAATTATCTTGATCAAACATGTAAACCATAAAAAAGGTATTCTTAGTGTAAATATTAACTTTAAAGGTATCAATTTGAATAGTGGCTGCTCAGAAAGTTACATTTCATATAACTTTCGTTGTCATGCTTGTCCGTAATTGGGCCGGAGGGGTAGTCTTGTGGTTAATGCATCACGCCGAAGACCTGGGTTCGACTCCCCACATGCGTACAATGCGTGAAGCCCTTTTCTGGTGTCCCCCGCCGTGATATTGCTAGAATATTGCTGAAACCGCCGAAAACCATACTCACTCACTTGTCTGTGATTCAGAGAATTTGCAGAATATTTCCGAAGATATCTGAATGAGATATTTTGTGTAATGGAGGGTGTGACGTTTGTTGAAGTCACTATATATACCCAAACACATAAAATCCAACATGGTGGTGTGTGGTCTTGACCGTAGAATTCATGGATGGGTGACCGTGTTCGGCAGCTTTACTCCTGAGAGTTTCTAGGATTTCAATCCTGTCCTACAACGAAGCATACGTGCCACATATAAATTGTTTTATTCCTCCAA